AAAAAAAAAACGAAACAAAAACATCAATAATGTCCTCATAAACTCGCAATACCATTTAGGAAAAAAACAACATTTTACTCACTTACTTTTCTTGAAAAGTCCGTTTTGAAAATGGTCTTGACAGTAAATCCGCCACGAAATAATAAAATAGCTATTACACCAACACAACTATATTTCGGTTTGTTTGCTAGCTTTGCCCTGATTGGATATCTGACTATCCAATCAGCGGGTGTGGGTACGGTGGCATTTCCGGGGCCTTCGCGCAGGCCCTGGCATCACCAACCTAACATCTGATTGGTTGAAGCAACAGTGTACTCCACATGTATTTTCTGTGGGGGGGGGGCCTGCAGAACGGATTGTGAAGGCCTCCAGGCAGACATCTTTGACTTTGACCCTGCCTAGCGACAAAGGATGTCTGAAATGTGATTGGTTAAATGCTTTTATATGAAAATACATGTCTGGAAGCAGCGCAACCAGGGGAGAAGCTATGAAAGGAAGCTGACAGACTATTTAGAGATATTTAATACCTTTTTTATGGACAAAATATCATTAACATCAGTCTGTGATTCAGATATTTTCTTAGGCCTTCAGAGAAGGCCTTGCAGGCCCTGACGGCCCACCACTGCCACATTAATAGGAGATGTTTTAGGCTCAAATAATACTATGATATAATAATAATTGTCCTTTGAATACTTGTATATAATTAAATTCTTCCAGTGTATTCTGTCATTGTTAAAAGAGTCCCATCACCTGCTACTGTTCCACATCTGTGCTCTCAGTTATTGTAAGTCTGACCTTCATGAATGAAAACATTGTCCAAGAATTTTGCTGTGTTAAGTTTGGTTTTCCCTGTTGAGCCACAATGGCTTTTGTTAAACTATCCCCATTTCCTCTATGTTACCTCGGCGGATGGCAGATCTCAGCATTGGCACTGACGTTGTAACCATTTTAAGATAGCCTTTGTCTGTGTTAAGGGCATAATCAGTCCTGCTGTAATAAACAAAAATAGTGATACAGTTGCCGAGGGGGGTTTTATCTTAAAGAGGAACCATAAAAAAATGTGAGATTTCATCTTTACCGATTCAGGCTTCATGTTTTTCTTGGCCCATGTTGAGCATTTTCCCAAGCATGATGATCAGCGTACAGATAGGGCCATGTTTTACTTTCATTTGCAGAAGGTGTAGAAAGTTCCCACACATTGTCAGGAGCAAATGAGGGTTCATGTTTGGTCAAAGGCCGGAACTGCTACTGAGGACAAAGACTATTCTCATAAAGCAAAGTATTTTTGGAGAGTTAAAGTTGTTTTCGTGGAAAAGTTTAAAGCAGGATGATCCATAATGGCATTTTGTGACTTTGTTGACTCTCCAAATGATGTGTTATAGTGGAGCAATTTGAGATATGAAGATGTAAGTAATGTGGAATGTATAAATAATACTTTTTGGGAATTTGCTGAACAGGTGCAGTAATAATTTATTACCTCTTACCAGTGGAGTATTTACTTTCAGCAAGCTGAATTATTTACTTAAGTATAATTTTATGTTATTTTGATTGTGGCGTTATTGTTTGTTTATAAATATTCTTAAATATTTTGGCATTATCATTTTTAAATGCAGTCTGGATTTCCTACATCTTTCAGTCTATTAATTTTTTCCTGATGAACGATGACAGCATCTCACTTCAAACTAAAATCTGGCCAAAATTCCCCTTGTGTGAGCATAGAATCAGGTCACAAGTTGGTTACAAACCATAACACCAAATTCTATGAGTACAAGCGCAGCCCTTAAGGACTATTCGTAATGGTTATATCCCTATGTGCGCATGATTTAGACTGAAGTATAAACTGAACTGAGACCGAACTGCAAAAATAGCTAATTTTGTTCAGCCTTATAATCGAATCTGGGGTTACGGTTGGTAACCAACATTCTATTTTGAGTAGAGAGCTTTATCTGTGGTGCACAAACAGATGCTGACCACCACGGATCTGAGAAGTGTGTTCAGCGTATAGCACGAGAGTACATGCACCGGAGAGAGGAGGAGGAAAAGCGTGTGCCGCTCTGAGGAGGGAGGCGAAACCTCCCTCCACTCTGAATCCAAAAAAGCTGGTGATGTTTTTGGTCATGAAAACCAGGTCAGAGTGCATAATAGCAACACTACCATTCCTCCTGATCCTGAATCACGAAGATGCTACAGAGATAGCAGATAAAATGCTGCCTCTCTTAGCATATGTCAAAGCTAGCTACAGAGTGGCCTTAACAAATAGAAACCTCATTGAGAATAGATGTGAATATTCAAAGGGGCTTTACTCCCTGCAAGCGGGACCACCGTTAAATCTCACCAAGGTGTAAGAGAGCATGACACACATCTCTGTCGCTGTCTATTTTATGGGGACTGTCTAAATGTCACATTTGTTTGTCTTGCAGCTTTTACGAGAGCTAAAGCACCCAAATGTGATCGCCCTCCAGAAAGTGTTCCTGTCTCACAGCGACAGAAAGGTTTGGCTCCTCTTTGATTATGCTGAACACGACCTTTGGGTGAGTCTTTCTTCACTTCAGAGATGTAGCGCATTCATTCCAAAGATATTAATGAGCATTTTGTTGTAAGTTAGGCATCCTTACAACTGGAGAAAAATGTTGTACCTTGCTTTTTATTGCATTTGCTTTATAGCACATCATCAAGTTCCACCGTGCCTCCAAGGCCAATAAGAAGCCCATGCAGCTCCCCCGGGGAATGGTGAAGTCTCTTCTGTATCAGATTCTGGATGGGATCCATTACCTCCATGCTAACTGGGTCCTCCACAGGGATCTGGTGAGTAGCTATATTGGCTCCACTGCTCCAATTTCCACTTATAGACACATACCAGCCATACATTACATCATGGAGCTGCTTCCAAATGCGACATGCTTAAAGCCACAGATATTACTGGGAGGAGCTTGTGTTGCAGTTGCCACATGTGTTACCAGCTTGTCGAAGTCATCATTTGCTGGACATTAAAGGAAAAGATTTTTTTCCAATAACAGGGTTGAATAAAATTAATACATTTTGTTGTTGCAGGAAAAAATATTCTGACAACCAAATATTTTTTGACAGATATCTACTATCCTCATCAGACAGCCTAAGGCTGCATTCTAATTAGCCAATTTGTCAATCTATGAATTCATTATCTTCAAAGTGCAAGAAACGGGCTAAGAAACATGTAGTCCAACTCCTCTGTAGTAGTACATGTAGTAGCCCTCCTCTTTTGTCTTGAGTCAAGTCAAGTCGTCTTGGTTTATATTATTCTCCATTATAATACCACTCGGCCACGCACCACTCCAGTGCATACTAAAAGTAATAGAAAAAGCTAACAGAGTCACATCAACTGCAAGTTGTGGAGGCAACCCTCAGGCTTCTGAACCAGATTCCCTTCTCTCTGCTACTTGGCCTTGAAATCCTTCTCATAAGCACCACAAACAGAATTAGTGATGAGGGCTGGCCTTTGCAGAGTCCACAGCGTAAAGAACCCCAACTTTAAGATAAAAAGAATTCACATGCAGCTTGTGCTTCGGTCACAAAAGAACGGTGTGACCCTTAAAGCAACTCTGGCACCATCGGCTCTTGGCATGTACCCCCTCAGTCTCCCCACAGCGATGGGGATCTGATTCACTCTTCCACAGTCTAGGTGAAACAATTCATCCTGGATTAAAGTTACGACATCCTTTTAAACACTCTGGTGTAAGCCTTCCCAAGAAGACTGTGATGGTCATAGTTGGGACACATTCTTTGGCTCCATTTCCTAAAATTGGGGACCACTTTCTTGGTCTACCACCTCACAGAAGTTAATCTGTAGCTATTGATGGCTAAATGTTACATATTATTTTATCAGTTATACCGGGGGGCAACTCCAGGCCTCTTTGGGCCGCTGTCCAGCAGGTTTTATGCTTTTACAGGTTCTATCCATCCATCCATTTTCCAGCGCTTATCCTGGGGTTTTACAGGTTTCCCTGCATATATTAAAACTCTTTATTTACTGTGATTGAAGCAGTCTAAGTTTCTCTTGTTTCTTCCTTGACATTGGCTTTGGTCCTCATTATGAGAACGTATGGTCTCAAGGTGCTGGAATTCAGTGCTTCCATCCCTTCTTTTGGCTAGGCTATTCTACCAGGGTACATGATGACTGAGCTTTACTGTTAATTCACTTTTTAAATACAGTTGGAAACTAATCACTCCCTTCTGCTGCTTTGGGGAGATCTCACTCTGGTACGGTTTGGCTCAAACTACGGTGTCATTTTGTCTTTTCTTTTAGTACCTAATTAGCCCGGCATTGTTTGTCCCTGGACGGCTCCAAAGGCAAAGCAAATTTATTTGCATAGCACGTTCTGTTTACAGGACAATTCAAAGTGCTTTACATCAAATGCAAGAGTCTAAAAGCAGAAATGAAAAATGATTTACACTAAATAAAACAATACAGTTGTCTAACCAGATAGGGACTAATGCATGGACTAGTCTTTCTAGGTCTGGTTTAAACTCTATTCCTCTGATTCTACATGTTTTTTAAATGGCAAAAGGCTGCTGATGGTATTGATTTAGTGCAGCTGCTATAGTTCAGGTCTCAGTCCATTATTACCCCCGAGGTCTCTAACCGGATACTCAGGTTCTAAAGAGAGAGTGTCAAGGTGACACTTTCTCTTAGTTTCCGTGGACCACAGACAGTGTGACTCCCTGACCAATTTCTGCTCAGCCCGGATGGAACTCCGGCCAAATAGGTCCTGAAGCTGTATCTGTTCAGTCGGGCCAGCCTTTGGTGGAGATGCTAAATTTCCTTGTAAGGATGGGCTGAGTCGGTACGAGTGGAAAAGTCGCTAGTCCAGGTGCTTAGGGCAGGCGTGACAGCTCTCCTGAACCCAGTGCCCAACAAACTATATATTCCCTGTTGGAAATGGCTTTCTGTTTCTGCTGTTGAACAGTCAAAGAGCTGTTTTTTTCTTCCTTCTAATGCCTTTTTTGTGTTTGGACCAGCGGCTCTTTTAACTGCACGTCATCTGGGTAGTTTGATCCACTTTTCAAAGAGAACCTAAACCAAATGAAGTTGGGACATTTTGGGCGTTGTCTAACTGAAGCCTGGATAAGTCCAGGAGTTAAAAGTGGCCCATAGTACAAACTAAACAAACGCAGCAAACCAGTGAAACCTGTAGCAGATACATAGCTTTTAGCCCCCTGATTAGCAGAGCTACAGGACTGTCTCAGAAAATTAGAATATTGTGATAAAGTTCTTTATTTTCTGTAATGCAATTAAAAAACATGAAATGTCATACATTCTGGATTCATTACAAATCAACTGAAATATCGCAAGCCTTTTATTGTTTTAATATCACTGATTATGGCTTACAGCTTAAGAAACCCAAATATCCTATCTCAAAATATTAGAATATCGGATTTTTGAGTTTTCTTCAGCTGTACGCCATAATGAGCGATATTAAAACAATAAAAGGCTTGCGATATTTCAGTTGATTGGTAATGAATCCAGAATGTATGACATTCCATGATTTTACTTGCATTACAGAAAATAAAGAACTTTATCACCATATTCTAATTTTCTGAGACAGTCCTGTATATCTGAAAGGGATACTCTGACTGGTCGGCCTGTTTTTATTCCTTGTGGTTGCATTGATCCGAATGCTGTTTTCTCTGCATGTTGGTTGACTTTTCACAGACAGAAAAAAAAAACACCTGCATAAACAGTATTCATGCTAGCGATAGGGAGAAAGAAGGCTACAGCAGAAAGCCTGCCACAGTCGCAGTTTGTGCGCTCCAGACCCTGAAAGTTGCACACACACACACACACACACACACAGGTCTTATCTGTGTACCAACACTTCCTCATGGCTATTGTCTCAGCATCCTCCGTCTGACCGTACCGATGGCTGGCGCTCGGTGTTGTGTGGCTGCAGTATCTGTGCCAGGCCTTCCTCCCATTTAACCATTCAGACTCTTATATAATTCACCCCCTTTAGAAATGACCACCTTTCCTGTAGGTGCCTGCCTGTTTCAACTCTGTTTGAACTGTGTACGATAAATTGAAAGAGATTGGTGAGTTAATATCTTATTGAAAAGTGGGAAAAGAGCCTCTATCAGTGTTCCCTGCTCAGATGGCCGTTGTGTCGTTAATG